AGTAGTTTGTGCAATTTTTAGTGAAATATGGACATAATAAAGAATATTAAAAAAATTTTTTTTCAAGTACGGCTCTAAATTTGTTCATGAATTTTGTTCCGATATAGCTAAATTCTCTGCATATGAAGACTGTACACAATAAATTCACTGTATATTCTACTTAACTGTATTTTTTCAAATATTACGGAATTCTTTTGACAGTTCTTACAACGATTATATTTACATTACATGCGATTAGTATATTTTATCTCATTTGTGTTTCAAATAATATTACTCGAAAACTCAAATATTTTTGTGAAAATTTACTCAAAATTCTACATTTTTACAAACGTATTTTTTTCAAAACGCAAACGGCTCCACATTTTTCAATAAAAAATTTGCATACTGAACAATTTATTCTTCTGTAACATTCCAATTTTTCTACGAATAGTGCTAAATTGAATTATGATAAAGACGCAATTTTCATGTCAGTATTTATTTGATTTTTCAAAAATTACTCGATTGTATTTTTTATAAACACCTCTCTCGTCATTAATATTTACATTACCGGTTCAAATAGTTTCCAGTGACGTTTCTCGAAAACTCAAAAGTTTTCTGAAAAATTAAATCAAAATTAGTTTTTTGAGAAACAATCTACCGCCATTTCTCAAAAACGGTTCCAAATTTTTCAACCAACATTTGCTTGTAGGACTAAGTTTTATTCTTCTGTAATATTCTTTCTTTGTTCTACATGTTTGACGTAAAACCAGCGTTTTTGTATGGTTCACTGCAGGAGAAAACAAATATCTGACTGACTTTTTTGTGTTGTAGTGGATTAATTTTTTTTACCAGTTAGGATTATTTTTAATTTCATTATCTTCTTATCCTATTTTTTATACAAGAAAAACGAACTTTGATGAATTTTATTTCATACTTTAATTTTTTACCTGTTTTTTATAATTTATTCAATTTGATTATGTTTTTCACGTAAATTGTTTGAAGAAATACCAGAAATACCTAAACAATTTTATGAATAAATAAATTAATAGTACCAATGTAGAATGCAATATAAAA